CACAAATATACATATTAGAGATAAAATTACTACACTACCAAATTTTTAAAAGATGACTCAAAAAAAGAATAGTGCGAAATAATTTTGTTATTTCACAGTTTACTCTCATATGAATCAAAGGATATGTCTATTACATGATTGTTCACAACTCTCGAACTTAATCCAGCAACAGCCTGATTTTTCAAATCTCCCTGGTTCTATGTTAGAGCTGCATTTAAGTCATTTTGAAGGTCTAAGCTGCTCGTGACACCACAAGCTATATATTCAGATATGTAAGATCTCTAAATAATTTTTATAGTTCTGAGAAACTCATCCTGAAATGTTTTCCAACAATGTGCACTATGTTGTTTATTGCCACATGGACAAGTAGCAATACACCCTTGACTAGAAACTTTGTATATGCAATTTTCCCTGCCTTTTGCCATTTTACATTTGCGAATTGCCAAGGACATATGTTTCTTGTGTTGCTACGAAGGTTTGTTTGTGAGTACTGGTACAAGACACCCATCTTTGATATATCTTCAAATAGGTATTGCACTTTGAGATTCAAATAGTAATTTAGAATGCTACCTTGAAGGACATAAGAAACTTTAAGAGCTCTTTTTAACTCTCATCCTTCTTTGCAAGCAACATTCTGTATCATCAGACTGAATACAAATTCTCTCAACATTGAATTACTTTATCTTGTCTGCAGCACTGTAGTAGACATGGGCCATAAGGAGAGTGTCAACTTCTTCATGATCAGTATTTGATAGATTGTTGCAACCATCAGTTTTGCAAAGTTCAATAGCAGCTCTGCCATAAGTGAAATTCATCCCATAGAGATACAGGGTGTCCGGAAAGTAAAGATACAAACACTCTAATTTTAATAGATTTAGGTTTAGATTATAGAGGAACTATATTACAATTCATCTACCAACTTTTATAACATAAACGTGTTAAATTTACGATTGTCATGGTTACGGTGGTCAGGGGTGGTCAGGGGTATGCGGAGCAGTTCCATGATATCGCTAAATTATCATAAATTGCTGGAATTTAACCATTTGAAACAGTGTTTATTATTGTATTTCCTATCAATGTTTTGTTTTGTTCAATATTGATTCTTGCTGCCATAGTATTCTCTTTAGACTAATGATATCACTGATGCATATCATAACTACAAAATAAAAATATATAAAGTCACTAACCAGTATAATCAAAGAAACATTATTTAAGTGCTTAAAAAAAGGTCCCTGGATTAATAGGAAAGTCAATAGTGCACCTCCTGAATGCACCAATTCACAAAGCAAAGAAAACAAACCTTACAAATGAATGTCTTGACATTAAACCTTTTTGTACAATGGCCCATATTACACTGATAAGGTCCCGTTGGACTCCTACATTAATGAAAATCATAAAGCAATATTTGTTAGAAGTTCAACAAGAAAATGAGACTGCTTGAAGCCTATTTTATCAGTAATCTGAGAGATGGACATCAGCGGTTTTGTCAGGTCTTAAATCTCAGGTCAAGATGCACCATGAATGTTTAGATAATGTTGGGAAATACATAATACTGGATAAAAGTAGTAATGTCAAATGACCAAATAATGTTACAGTACTACTTCTTTTGCTGTTGTGGTACATAATTTGATGTATAATACAACAGATGATGGAGTGTCAAGATGATATGAGCAGGAGAAAAAAATTATAAAACATAATTGTGACGCTGCTCCACATACCATTGACTACCGTTACCATAACATTTTGAAACAAATTGTCATGACAGTTGCAGGATTAATTGTTCTAATGTCATTCTATAATCTGTAGCAATTTCATCTTACAACAGGTAAATCTATTGAAATTAGAGCATTTGTATCTTTATTTTCTGGACACCCTGTACAGTAACCAATATCCATCATGAACTTCCTAATTACACCACACGTAGGTGTAATATGGAAATCACCAAGCCTTTGACAACATTGCAATTGATATGAGGGAATTCAACCAATATGGCTTGATCACTGGTTATAATTATCACAGTACTATACCCCATTATTTTTAAATATATTCCAAGTGTTCTACTATAATTGCATAGATTCATGAGCAGTTTGCAACATATTATAACCAGAAAAGCCCAATGGACAAAGATAGAGAATACCCGCCCCATTTGCAACTCAACTTTAAATGTCTAATTTTGAGACTTGTATACTCATGAAGTTCCTGACATATCTGAAAAATAGTATTGAACTAGAATAGCGACAACTTTGTTAAAGTCTATACTTTGAAATTGTTTGGTTTTTATATTTCTGGTTATTTTTAAAATAAATGAGGTAGGGGAGATATGTAAGCTCTAATATAATGACAGGCTTTCCAATATACATTTTTAAATACCTTAAATCAAAGAAGCCAGGCAAAAGAACAGATTTGATCAAGAATTCATCAACCAATCAGCATAAAACTCAAGATATAAGGAACTATATGTTATTATTAAAAGTGGAAATGATGAAAAATGACAAATTTTGTTCTTAAATATCTAATTTCTCGACACTAGTATACAATGAAGGTCCTGAAAAAATAATTATAGCATTCAATAACACATAATGAATGGCTACATCTTTGTTAAAGTTTATACTGGTAGTTTGAAGTTATTTTTTATATTTTCCGGTCATCTTCCCTAATAGATGGGGTAGGGGAGATCTGAAAGCTCTAATATGAACATTGTTTGTCCACTATACATTTTCAGTACCTTAAATGGAATAAGACATGTACAAGAACAGATTTAATCAAAAGTGCATGAACCAGTCAGCATAAAACTCAAGATATGAGGATCTATATGTTACTGCTGAAAGCAGCATTGATTAAAAATGCCAAGTTTTGTCCTTAAAGTCTCATTTCTAGTCACTTGAATACCAATAACAGTTCTGAAAAATATTAAAACATTAAATAACACATAATATTGATATAGAATAGCTACAACTTTATGAAAGTCTATAATTTCAAGTTATTTTATTTTTTCATATTTCTCATTTATTTTCCATAATTGATAGGGTAGGGGAGATCTGAAAGCTCTAATATGAACATTGTTTGTCTACTATACATTTTCTATACCTTAAATGGAAGAAGACATGCACAAGAAAAGATTTGATTGAAAATGCAACAAACAGAAAGTATAAAACTCAAGATATGAGGAACTATATATTGCTGCTGAAAGCGAAAATGAAAAAAAAGCCACGTTTTGTCCTTAAATGTCTCATTTCTAGCCACTTGAATACTGATATAGGTTCTGAAATATCTTAAAAACATTAAATAACACATAATAGTGACATAGAATAGCTACAACTGTGTTAAAGTTTATAATTTCAAGTTATTTTATTTTTTCATATTTTTCGGTAATTTTCCATAATAAATGGGGTAGGGGAGATCTGAAAGCTCTCATACGAGCATTGGTTGTCCACTATACATTTTCTATACCTTAAATGGAAGAACACATGTACAAGCACAGATTTAATTAAAAAAGCAACAACCAGTCAGCATTAAACTTGAGATATAAGGAACTATATGTAAATGCTGAAAGCGAAAATGATTAAAAATGCCAAATTTTGTCCTTAAATGTCACATTTCTAGACACAAGTATACTAATGAAGGTCTTGAAACATCTGAGAAACCTTACATAACACAAAATATTGATATAGAATAGCTACAACTTTGTTTGAGTTGAACATTTTGACTTCTTGTAGTTTCCATTTTTAGCCAATTTTTTCTAAAAAATTCAAGGTATGTCTTCTTTGGACTAGTATTTAGATATGTTCGCAAGAGTTATATGCTTCGCAGGCGAAATTGTTTATGCAGGACACCCTAATAGAATAGAAAATACACAGAAATTCCATCCAGCTCAAAAAGTCATTTTTTCCTTAACGGAGCCTCTTAGAAAATTTTCCACCCCGAGTATTACATGTAACTTGACTCCTCCGAATCTGTCATTAAGAATTCCTAACAACAACTATTTTAGTATTGTTTTGTAAACTGTTTTCTATTGTATTTAGATGCAGCATGTTAAATCTGCTATTAATTGATTAATCGTGAGAACTCTGTAATTTTTCAATGTTGTCAAGTTTCGTATTCTGTCACACTCAAAATATTACAATTAGCTTCAAATGACTATCCATTTTATATTTTTTGTCCAATATTTCGTACAATTCACAAAAAAAGAATTTCTGAAGGGGACTTAATTAGAAACATCAATTTCTGGAACAATGGCTCAGTAATGGCCTTCAGCTTTCTGCTATGCTAACATATTACTAAAGATTAACAGATAAAAATTGATAGAATGTATCTCGGGGATAGCATGGAACATTTTAGAAATACACTGTTGTCAATTTTCGATGATTTTTAATTGTATAATCCAAGGACATGAGAAAAAAATCAAAAAACAATTTTCTATAAATATACTACAGTGGCCAAAAGTTTGTAATACAAACATTTTGAATTTATTTCAAGCTATATAAAATTGACCAACGATTAAAGTTGAATAGAAAACATAGTTTTTGTGCGAAAGTCAATTTATTAAAACCTCTCTCAATTAATTAAACTGTAAATAGAAGAAGACTCGGCAGATGTGATTTGAAAGGTGACCCGTAAAAATACATCTTTCTAAATATCTAGAGGTAAACCTTTATGAAAGCCAGTATGAAAAGAACTTTACAAATGAAATGTTCTATTCATTTAAAAGTGAAAATACTTCATAGAACAGGAGGGATATAATATATGTATAATGTGTGATATGATAACTGCGAGGTCTATTAGACATTATCATTATACCTCCATTTTAATATAATTTTGACTTCTATTCTCTGAGTGTTTCAACTCTATCTACCTTGTTAGGTAGTTCATTGAATATTCTGATAACTAATCAAATAATCAGAGACAGAATTTTTAACTGATCTGAATCTGAAAAATTCATTGTTCATATGTCCTTGGTCGAGAATAATTTTTAAGATAAAACATTTTTGGCTTGAACTTACCATTCATGCAGACACATCTGAAGGCACCTCTCTGGTCCAAGCAGGTGCCATCATTCTGGCAGGGAGAGCTGGCACACTCATTGATGTTTGTTTCACAGCGAGGCCCAGCAAAACCCAGGACGCAGTCACAGCGAAATGATCCTGGGACATTAACACACGTTCCTCCATGCTCACAGGGTGAAATGTAACCTGAGGTGGGAATAGATAATGTAATCCTAATGTATGTAATGTAATGTAATCCTATTTTCTTTACTTTATTGCTATATTTACTGTTATTGAAAATTGTATATCGGATGTACGTTTGGCCCTAAAAGGGCATCAGTACTAATAAAATCCTATATCTATCTATAGATAAGATAGGGGTTTAACAAAATCATTGGTGCAATTCTATTACCTTAAAGTCTCTAAAAAGTGAGATTTTTCATGTTTCTAACCTCCCCAAACATTACATAGAACTAAAGACTTATTTTCTGAACAATTACTTTGAAATACAATTTTATTACTAATACTTACTTGCGTCGCATTCATTGATGTCCTCCGAACATGCAATTCCAGAGTATCCGACCCTACATGAACAGATGAAGGCCCCATTGATGGGAGACGTATCGCACACTGCACCAGCATTACATGGGGAACTGATACATGCATCATCCAAGTGGCAGCGCAATCCTGGAAGAAGAGTTCAAAAATTAGAAATCATAGGGATCAGGATACAATACAATATATAATACAAATAAATAGTGGAACATTTTATAGGATAATCTCATGCTTTGGGAGGTTCGATCAAACATGGAATTGGTTGCACAATCGTGACAAATACAGAACAGCTGAATGCACAAACTATATTTCTTACAACCTCTAGATTATAAATGATCTCAAAAGTTTGAGAAACCACCTAATAAAATCAAAAGGCAAGTTAATTTTCACATGCTACATTTTATTCAATTCAGGTAAATCATTATTGTGGATGAACTTCTAGTTAGTGTGATAATGGGGTGATATGCAGTTGTTTGCCAATGGGTACCAACAATAAAAACAACGCAATATTCACTTAAGATTCTTGGCAGCAAAATGAAAATCCCAATGTCTTTATATCTATACCATATTTGTGTTTAATTGTAAAGGAATGTCTTGGTTAATGTTGTGACAAGGGATCTATCAAGTGCCACAAAACTTATTGTACAATTGCTCAGTTCATGGCCTCAATTGCTATAATTGCTCTTTGTTTAAAAATAATGGCCCACTTTGTATTTTATGGTTTTGACTGGACTATAATTATGTACCATAGAAAGTGAAGTACACTATTTGGGCAGATATCTATTTGATGTATAATCTTAAATATACATCTTGATGGCTCATTAGATTTGCTTAATGATGTATTGTATATGACTGGATATATCAGAGCAACACTTTTGTTCACATAGGAACCACATCTTTGTGTTAAGTTTTCAAATGACTTAATAACAACTTTAGTAGCTTTGTTATAAGCTACAATGGTCAGATAGTCTTGATCCTAAAACAATATAGTTTCTATTATTGCTAATGGATGTATGTTAAACAGGAATAAATATAAATGAAGAATATGGTTTTTTTTCTTTAATTAATATCACTTTTAGGACTATCAGAAAAAATAATAGAATACTCCAGATTTTATTTCCTCATTTCTACTTATTCAACTTTATCCAAAGCAACCCTTAAAATTATTCATCTTTGATTCTTTTATTTTTGTTAATTATTCTTTGGGAAAGAAAACACTGCATTTCATAAGTTAGGTTTGTTTAATAACTTCACTGACAACTGAACTAGGGACATCAATGACGATGCTCTTTCTTACTTGAATTTTGCCATTTGGAAATCATTAAATTGAATGAAAATCATGAATCAAATCAGGAAGTAATGTTTATTTCCTGTGGACCCATTTGTTTTTTCTGGTTAGCATTACAATTGAACATGCTTAAGACAGTCAGCTTTGGACATAGATCATGGAGTAGACTGAAGGACCTCTTTGTCAGGTCAAGATTCCTTTACTTGCCTTTTTTCCAGATTTAGGAATCTTGAGATGTGACCCTAAAGGACCAACTTTGACCATTACATATTTAGTGTGATTTGTTGCTTTTTCAGTTATATTCAGAAATTACAACTCATACCAGTTTCCATCAAATAATTCTAAGTCATTTTATAATAAGTACATATTAGAAAGAGTTCAATTCTACTTCTTCCGGTGCCATTTATCATTAGAGTTCCATGCGATCAATCTTCCCTGGCCATATTTACCAAGTGGAACATGGATGGTCTTTGTCTAATTATAAAAAACCAAAGTGTGTTTATCAAGAGTGTTTATGAGAAAATGGCACAGTGATACTCTGCAGATCACAGAGCCAGGGGAGGGTATTTACCAAATTCAAACAAATATCAACTGACATTTTAATTGTGTGAACTGAAGGAACTCCCCAGAAACCTCCCAAGTCACAGCTAGCACCGATTGTCAACATATCATAAATATTCTAAAAGCTAGCAGTCTGAACTTTAAGAGCACAGTGAAATTAGAATAACATTTCATTGAAAAAGCTGGAAACCTAATATCAACAATTTCAAAGGTTCGATTTTTTAACCCAAACATCATTTATGTTACATATTCTTGAAAAATCAATGCAAATGTTGATGAAAAGATATCTAAAGAAGAACTTATTCTATTTTTCTCGAGGATCATTTGGTGCTGTCACTACCTTGAGCTTCATAATGAACTAAAGATTTTGACCAGGGGCCGAATTGAAGCCTACAATTAACATGAGACCAGAGGTGGAATTATCACCATTATTTCCCTGATATCATCCTGGGATATTATCATTGGCAACCGCCACTAGCTTGAAGTGAAAACTGTTTAGATTTCATAGGAGCGTGTCTCATACGTGATTGTTATTGTTTTAATAGAGGGACACATGATATAGGCTTATCAATACCAACTCCTGGTAGCTCAACAATCAATTCATATTAATATACACATTCAATACCACAGGGGATAAAAAACTGATTCAAAAAATCTCATAATCGCTATTGAAATACAATAATAAAACGTGCATTGTCCATCCCATGCAAAATCAATATGAGATACTATACTTAAAATCATACACTCAAAAGTGTTAGCTCAAAATCAATTTAATGACAAATCCGGCCATAGCCACACCTTTGAAAACTGTCATATAATGGAGATATGTTCTCTGAGAACTCGTTTAAATCAACATCACCATTACAGATATATTCATATTACAATTACATTTTTAGAGAGGCTCTAATCTGCCAGAAAGATGCATTCAGAATGTGAGAAAGAAAAAACATTTTCTTCTCACTGAGCAATCTTTCAAAAATCCCCTAGGCCAAGACTCATCATTCCTCAACTATTTCAAAACGTTCATTCCTAAACAACGTATAAACTCGATAAGATCTTCATATTTCAATTGGTGTTTTTTATAAGCGACTATTAAGCAGACATAATGTGTTATTTGTACATCATTAAAATAACTAGCACAGGGTATGCTTCAAACAAAAGGATGTACCAAAATGATGAATTATGATTTCTTAATTTGACGATGTGTTTTAATTGATCGCTTTAGCCTATGGCACTCCATCAATCTTTCCAATATATTCTTGTGGTGTATGTGACCAAATATGATTCAGATTTTTATCAACAGTTCTCTTGGCATTCATGAACTTTTATTTTCTCAAACATAATCAGCTTTGAATATGTCGTCAGATATTCTGTGTCTATTATGATCATGTGAACCAAAACTGATCAATGTGTTTATTTCATAATTTATCAACATTGTACTTTATTCATGACAAGACTCGTAAACACCTACCTTTCTTTCCAGTGGGGCACTCACAGAAATAGTAACCCACTCTGTCATGACAAGTCCCTCCATTATAACAAGGCTGGATATCACAATCGTCTATATTCTCTGTGCAATCATCTCCAGTCCATCCATTGACGCAGATACAAAGGTATCCCCCAAGTTCGTTCCTACACGTCCCTCCATTCTTGCATGGGTTGTCCCTAGCCTGACATTCATCAACATCTATCTCACAGTACTGACCTAAAACCATAGAGAAAATCTTTGTGATTATTTGAAGCGTTATTTCAACGTCCATCTTTGTGTGGGTGATGGGAAGGAATGCAACAAGGACAGGAAGAGCTTTAGAAAAAATTAAGATTGTTTTATAATTTTATAAATAACAATGTGCATGTTTTGTCTATCAATATCATAACTTGACTGTCACAGCAATTCAAGCCACCCTTTCCATATTTCTAGACCCCTCCTTCTATTACACAGCTCTTCACTGTTGACAGTCTTGACTCAATGGTTACCTAGTATTTCTACTACATGGCTAAACCACAATAAAAACACAATATTATGGGAAGTTCAAATATGAGCTTATTTAATCCTTACATATGATCAACGTTCAAAGATCTTTTAAAAAATAACACAAATGCTAGTCGCTAAATATGAATCAATAAATCTCTGTCATAATTAACAATGAACTGTGTCTCCTCATTGGGAACATCAGAGACAACAAGCCTAATGCACGCCTAATGCACACCTAATGCACACCTATCCATTGGCCTCACAATGCTCCTCTAAGTACTTGGAAAAATATAATTTAGAATGTATGAACACTTCAGCATCTTCACTTCTCAAGTTTTTATATCATATAACACATGCAGATTTTACTTGAATTATGTTTTAAGATTCCAGGAGCATGATACACTGTATTATATTGGAGGCATAATTTATAAATTTAGATTACTGTCATGATGCCGGATTTCAATTAAAACTGTCCAAAATCAATATAAGCTTTTTCTATGGTACTCCTATGATGTTTGCTCATGGGAAAGACTGCAGTAGAAATCAGTTGAAGTTGTACAATATGTGGTAGAGGTACAATATGTGGTAGAGGTAGTACAATATGTGGTAGAGGTAGTACAATATGTGGTAGAGGTAGTACAATATGTGGTAGAGGTAGTACAATATGTGGTAGAGGTAGTACAATATGTGGTAGAGGTAGGCTGCAGCAGGGAATAGTGAAAGAGCATCATGGGTAAAATGGGATTGGTAGAAATGGGATCATTTTGAACAGTGATCATTGAAATGATAAGCTCATCATTGAATACAGGATCATTCAGAAAAACCATTGTTAAAATGGAGTTGTTCTAGAATATCTATTCATTGAAGAATGGGACAAGTGATGAAGCGACTACTTAGAACAAGTTTTGCTTTGAATTCAATAGAAACAAGTCAATGATCTGTCTTAAAACAGGAAGAAGCCCAAAAAGTATAGATTTGTGAGAGAAACCCATATCCTCTCAACAATTAACGATTATATGTGAATGCTTCGCTTTGAACAATACTCCTTTACAAGTTGAATGATGTTGAAACTTGTAATAAATATACTATTTAAACAAGACAGGTCGATCAAAATACCATAAAAACTTCCATACGACGAATTGTGTTTTTTACAGTTGCGATACAATGGATTTAATTAGAATAACATAGAATTAAATACTTTTTATTAGCAATTTTGATAATGACTTTAATCAAAATATCATGAAATCAAATTAGCATCAAATCAATTTTTTGTAGTGACCACATTATGAATAAATTTATGATAAAATAGCTAGATGTTGATCTGGCTTCTGCCTATCAGACAGCAGTAAAGACACAATAGTAGTCATTTTAACCACATTCAATAATCTAGAACGGCCATACAAAAGCTCATGAAATTATTTATACACTGGTGACTCTAACACATTTCACAGTTCAAGAATCCTTTTTTAAAATGCCACTATACTTTATTCATGAAAAAAATAATTGGGACAATTCTGATTAGAAAGATAAGAGGAGGCACTCAGGTTGATCTGTCCTTTTATTTAAAATAAAAATCCTTAAATCTGATTGGTTATTATTAATCACATGCTTCAAATGAAGACTATGGGTAGATCTGTTCTCTGTGGATGGAGGTATATTTTTTATTTGACAAGACATTCTGGTATATTTTCCCACGTTGTCTACTCCCCTGGGTCTGTTGCCCTAATACTAACAATAGGACCCTAATCTCATCTAATAATAGAAACATACACTTTAATCACCCCTAGATATTATGACATCAATATATGACATGAATATATGACATCAATAAATCTACCCTTGAATATATAGATAAATTGTTTATTTCCTCAAATGATATTAACGTTGGCAAGGTAACTAACCAAGAATTTCATAAAAAATTATTATTTTAACATAAAATAGTTATGATTTTGGTGAATACAATCAGATTTTGATTTCTACTGATGAAACCCCTTTAATACAACCAATTTTGATAATATGCCCATCCAATATAATCACATGAAGATACTTAAAACTACAAAAAGAAAAAAAAATAACCACAGGAGCCAGTTCTAAAATAACATCTGACAATAAGGTCCTAATGAATCATTACTATACAATATTCAAATTGTTGTATTTGCCAAAAATTTAGCACTATTGACCAATACACGCACCTGGTAATTAGAGATTTTCCATGGTATTTAAATATCTAAAATCCCGAAGTTATTAATAATAAACTTTTTAATGAATTTGATATGGATCTTGCTGACCTGTTCAATAGCACTTAAGTTCTGGGATAATTGTAGTTCAGTGTGTTTACTTTTCATAAAAAATATTTGTTATTAAAGCAAGTTCATGTCAAAGGATTACCTTTTAGACTGTATGCAAGTAAAAGTGTCAATTCACATGTATACCGTGATAAACATAAAGAACACGTAAATAAATATGAATAAGTTCCAATATTTGCCAAAAATATGATTGTTATAAAAATGTTTCACAGGCTGCACTAAACTGAACTTTATTTGTAACAAGTTTAGAATTTAGTTGCAAATACTTGGAACTCATTCAAACTCTATAATAAAATCACCATTACATACATCAGCCTGGTCTATAATACTTTCACCTGTTCTATTATACCATCTATGTTCTATAAACTGTCAATGTTCTATAATATTGAAATATTCTATAATACTATCAATATATTACGGATTAGCTTGGTCAAACTTATTATCAGTTTTAAGTCTTCTTTCATCAGATCTTCTCTTCTCTATTTTCTTTGATGTTTTGCTGATTCCCATAAACTTCCAAGTTTTATTCAGAGATAACACTTCTATTGGTTGTTAAATAGAGTTTAAATATGAGTCTCAATGTTAAAATAACCATTGAAGAAACCAAAAACAATCTATTATTTATTGTATGTATATATCGTTTTACATATCAAATCTCTATGCAGATGCTACTATTGAAAAATCAGTGTCAATAACACAAACCGATTTTTCATCTTTTCCTTGAGACATTTTCTGAGCATACAAACCTTGACATTAAAAGGAAGAAATCTTTAAATCAATCTACTCCCAAGTCAAGTATCTTGGTTTTTTAAAGTAGGAGACATAGAGGGAGGAAATAATAAACAAAAGGAGAAAGCTGACACCAAAATGTAAAACCTGACACCAGGTATTGAGATTGAATCACTGACCATTTGTTTACTCTCTATACATCTCAGTATATCTAATACTTCTCAATTTCACATTCTTATTGTTATAGCTTTTCTATGATTCTCTTTTAAGATAATGTGAGTAAAAAAACAGCACGTGAAATATTTTGTTCTTCAAGAGGTAGGTTATCCTTTATCGGGGCAAGGTTAACACATTCTGTTGATACATACATGGATTTGGTAGCATGTTGCCAAATATTGGAAAACTGGTTTGAGTCGTCTGAACACTAAAAATATATTTTTTGAGAAATAATACAGCAATGTTACAAAATAATTCTATGACAGATGAATCCTCAATGCATCTCCTATGCATGCTTATGAATTAAATATGAATAATTGTATTAACAGTCAAATATTAACAGATAAAAGATGTGTTTGATTTTTTCTTTAAAATAAGTCGTTTCCATGAGATATAAAACATGATGATTTTAATATGTCTAAAATATCATAAATATGTAAAAATACTAAATTCTGATGAAGTCAAGTTGATTACAAACAAACAAAAAAACAAAAAAACTGTAGGACATTTTTGTTGAATTGGTTTTTTTCGGTTCCCATAGGGATTATGCCACAACCCTTATAAAATATTTCAAATCAGTCTTCAGATTTTAATTTGTACATCATACTCAGTGAAAAGTTCTAAGGCAAGGTGGGAACTGTTTCACGTCAGTGGATTTTATATATTTTGATCTTACAACTTCACAAAAATCAAAATAAATTATAAAGAAATGTATGATAGTGATATTCTTGGTAGTATTGAGCATTTTGAGATGCGCTCGCTAACCAATGACTAGATAAAATCTGTTACAATAATCCATGACAAAACCACACTCCGCCTATTATTCCAAGACAAGAATTCACCACAAACTTTAACGATCGGTCTCAAATCATAACCAACCCTAAATGTGTTAAACAGTGGTTAAAACTGCGGTGGTATCATCAAGGATGTCACAACAAACTGGGATTAAAATTTCAAAGGGGCTTGTGACGCTACTGATTGCCAACAACCGGTTGGCATTTTACGTTTCAGGCCTGATTGATCGTACTAGCATTGCCATATGCTTGTTAGTCTCTGGTTAATTACAAAGGGCTCATTTCTTCTTTTGTTTTTCAATTTAAATCAAAGCTCATAGCGAGCTATCTTTAAAACAATCAGCTATCAAACATTCCCCATAGTTATGCAAATTGCAGAATCATAATTCATATTCAGGACCAAACTAAAACAATGCATAGTCATGCGTATGGATATTCAAAATAATGACTTTAATGAGCTCAAATAAAACATATCCCCAGGAGATTGAAACCAGTCTAATAACCAATAACGCGCACTGAAAAATGATACTGTTCAATATTGAGCATGTTGAAAAATGATCTCATTATTACAATTCTAACACCTGAAAGGGCAACAAGACCAAGGGCAGATTACAAATTGTTTTTCAATTAATCCTAAATGTGAAATTCTTCTATGATAATCTATATATATACATATGCATTGATCAGCCCCCCCCCCCCAAGAATGTAGTTCTAGGCTGCAAAATTTTTGAAAATAAAGTGGAAAAATGTACCAATTTTTCAAGTTTGTACAAAAACAATACAAATAGCAACACTCATTTGCATCAATGGGGGATCACTGACATGTAAGTATATATGAATGTGTATGTTCTCGTACCTCTCCATTTGTTTGTACATCTACAGGTGTAGGAGTTGATGCCATCGATACAGCTCCCTCCATTCTGGCACTGATGGTCCACACAGTCATTGCGATTAGTTTCACATTCTGATCCCGTGAAAGCTGCAAATATAGAGATACAGACATTAATGTGGTGTGCCTAGTCATTGTGAATCAAATGTTTACAGATATGTGTGTGTATAAATATATATATCATATATGAGAAAAAATTCACCTGTAGAGACAGATTTCCAAAAAGAATGACATTCAATAGAAAAGCAATATAAGATTTTCAGGATTCAATAGTTCCACTGCTAGAGTACTACCATACCCCATGCATCGTGCAATCAGTCCAAATTCTAAATTCTATCCAATGTTCTTACATGTTGCTCTGTTTTCATACTGGATTTACCCGTAGGGCACACATGATCTTTCCATTCTACAAGCTCAGTTTTCTCAATAAACATTTTTCTTTTATGCTTCAACAACAGTGTAGTTATCCCTTGAAAGATATTATATGTACTTGGAAATATATCATTAGTCAACATAAAATAAAGCTTGACACTGTTTTAACAGGACACCTCATTGTCAGAGTGAAGTTAAGCCAAGTGATGGTAATTTTTGAGATTGCTTTAAGTAATTTTATAGGACACTATTTGCCCATTGTCTTCTAACACTTGTTTTTAACTCTAACACTTGAGCGTAGTATCAAGGTTAGCTCCCAACACACAGCAGTGCATTCTAGCATCCTAAATGTACATTTTAACTTCTTACTTTTTTCTACATGAATCAAATGTATGAATAGTGTAGGTATACTGAGTGAAAATTTCAGCCAGATTGACTGAGAAATAAAAATTTTAGAGTACTTTTGCAAGAACTTTATGAACGCCCCATAGGTATACGATTCATGTATATCCCAAGGTCAATAGAAAATTTTGAAATTATCATTCAGTTATATTTAGTTACAATTCATTGAGAGATCTCTTATTTTCAAGTATATCAAGTAAGTCAATTCTCATATGTCATCTAAGTGACCCACATCTATGGAACCCAACATCCAGAATACTCAAAATATGATTGGACCCTTTCCCTCTAGATCCCTGGTCCCTATTTACCTCCTTTTTTGTCAAGTGTATTGTTCTACCAAACTAAGCAAAATTTGTTATTAATTGTGTTAAACTGAAGTATTTCGAACTGTCTTTAGGGGTCACATTCACACAATTATGACACTCCTTGCTATCTCTTTGAGAAAACATTCTTGTAGATGTGACAGTAATGTAAAAACAATTGTTGTATGAAATGATATGATCACGCGAGTAGCAAGATAAGATGTGTTATGTTCAATATACATATTTCAAGTAAGTTGTCACTTAATCAGGCAAGATGACACAGATAGACCACCACAGATATAATGTCACATGATGTATATAACACAAAAACACCCCCTGTATAAATGTAGGTATATAATATAAACATATGATACTGAACTAGATCTTATTAAAATGTCACCACTCCAAGAAAACTGAAAAAATGGTACAGAATGCCAATCACAAAAAAAAAACAATAACTTATCATCCTCCTATCAATAGCATAAATTACATGCTAACTTACCACAAATCACAAGTAACAGTAATGACAACATATAGACTGGTGCTACCATTTTACATCAAACAACCAATCAACCTGTCAATCAATCAATCAATCAATCACGTCCAACCATTGTTATTAAACTGTTGAAGTCTCAAATTTTCTCATCCGTAGAAGAAACTATCCAAGGTATGATCCATAGTGGTATCCATGGCCTCTACTATCTGCTGAACTCTTTCAAATCAGAATGATCTTGACTTGTCTTAGTATTCCTTTACAGAGCAAGGCAGTTGGGCCTGAGTATGGCAATAGCAGATAATAGAATACTCAGTTGCTTGAACTATTTCAGGCCATGACTCTTATGGTAGATTAGTACCATTCAGTAATAAGTTGCAATTGTACAATCAGATACAGATTAGTGAGATTAGTTTAATCCAGTTGTAATTAATGACTCTACAGGTAATCCACAGGTATGTAATCCCTTGATTAGCCTAAATCTAAATGAAACCACATGGAGAAACGACACATAATTCATATGATCTGTGTAACCGATGTCCTTTACAGTATTAATAAGTTTGTTAACTAGATGTTACTAATTACAAGCTGTGCTAAGAAAGCCACAATTGGATAATACCAAGATAGCATATATATGTATCACATGTTTAAGTACTAAATGGAAAGATGCTTTCAATCTTAGATGCAAATTATATTAATAGAAGAATAAAACAAAATAATATGATATTTTTTGCTCTATTTCATCAACTTTCTCTAGAAAGCAAACATTTTATCCTATTTTGACTTATTACATAAAGCGAAAACAATTTCACATTTCTAATACAACAAGTTTGTCATCTTTACTTCAAAATGACAGCTTGAAAAATGATCTCTCACAGAATTTTGGTAGCAGACCACTAAAGAGGCAAAAAGGCCAATGCCCACTGTCTCAACCACAGACAATCTATTCACCTACATCACGACAATTCAGACCAACCGTTCAATGAACAGTGAAAAAACCTTAATGAGAAGCCTACAAAGTACATCTTGTTCAAGAATGCAAAAATGACATCTCTGAGATAGTAATATTGTTTCTATGGAATACTTGACCAGTGTAGACTGCAAAGTGCAGCATTTGCAGGGGTTCCATAATGTCTAGTGGTCACCTCAACCAGGCATAAGACATATCTATAATTGAGTTGAATTCCCAAGGTGTCCTATAATAGGCCCATTGCTTTATGAGTCTAGAAATGAGCTATGAGAGATATTGCAGACGAAGTAAGACAAACACATAGTTTGTCCTCTACATAATTTTGTTCTATTGTATTAAGACTAAAATGTATGGATATGAAATAAACAATGTCTTGCCTTAATATAGTTCGTTTAAAATATTACAATTTTGTTTTAAATAGAAAAAAGTACACTTTTAAGGTCACTATGCTTGTATTAAAAAGAAGTGAAATAAAATAGTAAAAGAAAAGAAATAATATTGTTCATAATCCAGTTCTGGTCTTGTGATTTCTCTTTCCACATTTTTAGAAATGACATACCTGTTGTGGGCTGAACTTAATAATAAAAAAACATACATTTTGATCACCTGCTGATCCTGTACATTGACATTATATGTGCCCAACCCCAGGAGTTTTCTCTTGAAAATATACTGGCATGGGTATCCATTAAGTCCCTTTACACTTTATACATACTTTATATTGAAATTGTTAAGAGACTTTATGCCCCTTTATGACTTTATGTCCCTGTATTATAGTTCATTGATTCTTAGAAGCCCATACTGACACTGACAGCTTTTTTCATTTGAGATTTGCAGTTATTTCTTCATAACTTTTTAGGTAACTTTATAACATTGCATGACTGGGGTACTGCTAAAAGACCAAGTTACCCTGACACTCAGAGAGTAATAGTACTCTAGATGAAGCTCTCTTAATAACAAGCAAGACCAAACACTTAAAAGGGTAAGAAGAGATTTCAACCATTCAACATCAAGGAGCAAAATCACTTCATTCCATATAAAAAAGCTACTCGGATAAGTTATAATCCTGGCGTGTAATTCCCAGTAGTAATTCCCCATATTGACTTTCTCATTACCGCATTTCCTAATATGAGATATAAAGCCTAGACAGCTATCAGTGATAATTTCTATGATTGGATTGTCGATATTTTCATTACTAACATAATCTCTCAGATGAAGGTGTATTTTATCAGCCTAAGTGGAGTAATCTAATTTAGACGAGGTGAAAATGATCATTCGTTAATAGACTTATAAGCCTAGCCTTGATTTGTTTTAGCAGTTTTCTGAATCAATTGCAGTATTATCTTTTATTTATTAAAAAATAAGAGATAAAACTGATCTAAAAGTAAAAGTCTATGGTACATGCTATGTGTTCATTGAAGGCAATACTAGTATATGGATCTACCTGGAAAAGTACATGACATTGTAATATTACCAACACTACCACATGAAAGAAGAAAAGAGACAGGGAATTATGTTGTAATTATTAATTTTCATAATTACTTTTTTAATCTTCAAAGGTCCATCACATCTATGTATTGATGCTGTATTGAAGCCCTGTCAAAAAGGTTGATGACAGATCCGTCGATATTCACAGGTTTGTCCAATGATCTTTTAGACCCAAAATGAGTATAAAAATCCACAGATTGGGGAGAGTCACACATTGAATTATAACTAACTAATTATTAACTAATTTTGATGAGTAAAAAGAATTGTGAATATTCCGAAAATGGTTTGCAACCCTGAGAAAAATCCTAGAGTGTAATAAACTATTTATAAGATCTACTGGGAACATTTCATCAAACTGAGCTGAGGTAAACAAATGCCAAATATACCCCTTAGAAAATAAGTGTTTCAATATTGAGATGAGAAGATAGTGTAAATAGCCTCCTACCAGTCAGAAATACTCAGGTGCAATGTAAGATGTCCAAGAAAGATTATCAACAACATATAGAGTTTAAAGGACAGGAATATCTTTTGTCAAAACAGCGAAACAGATTTTATTGATTTCGTTTTTTTGGTGGTTTCACCAGCAGGTGGGTGAGAAACCTATGAGATTGTATCAAAAGAGGGTTCATCTTTAAACGTATCAGTATCAGGCATCATAAAAAACATAATGATCTCGGGGTTCAAATTTTGAAGCCTTTTTACACAGTCATAGTCTTTTTCAATCTGTGTTTTTAATATGTCTCAGTCTTAACCATTCTGCCTAAATATTCATAAATTTTTGCAATGCAAATAATCTAGGTTAGAAATTGAGTAATCAAAATTTTTTAATCAAGCTCTGACAACTTCTTAATTCTCACAATTTCTTAATCAGAACAATTATTTCTAATAAAGAAATGTGATAAACATGCATTAATGTCTTAGGTCTCTCCTGATTAGTTGATTGGTTATTATGATTCATGCGTCCATTACTGACCATGTTAACATGAGAATGATTGTGTAATCACACTGACTGGAGTGTCACACTGCTAACAACATGCCTCTCTGCATGTTGTAATAATGTTACCTTTCAATGGGATTTCACCAAATATCCAAGTTACCACATTTAACAGAGAACTTAAATGCATGACTGACATTTTTGAATTGTAGTAACTTCTTCTGAAATATTGCCCCCCCCCCCCCCCCCCCCCCGCAAAAACAAAACTTTTAGACAAAATACACACTTTAGCCTGTTGATTTTTAATCAATGTGATACTACCTTTGAGATATCACCTACCCTGAGGTAAGAGCCTAACTCTATAAAGCTCTGTGGAAGCAAAATCAGATCGAACTACTGGAAAGGGTAATGAACCCCTGCCCCCATCCTGTATTGATCACTGAGTATAGCTATGAGGGTATAGGACCTCTGATCAGATTGTGATTATACAGGACCTGGTTTTATTGTCCTTCAAGCAATCCGGGTTATATTGTGTAACTTGTATTTTTACAAGATGCTTGAAGCCAAAATCAATGTTTCATAACAAACTCACATGTCTTGAATAACCTGTTTTCCGAGATAATACATTATCAGATTCTTATTTGCAAATATAAATTCAGGGGTCAATCTAAGTTTATTAATGAAAAAGAAAAACTTGCATTTATTTGCTTTATATACCATGGTAACCAACTGGTGATGTAAGCAACTAGAAATGTTTCACATTTAGAGAGATCAGGGTAAGAATCTAGATTGAGCTAATAACCCACAGAGAAGAGCATATCTAGGTTGAGAGATGACTTCCTGAATACTCAAATTACATCAAATTATTATGACAACCAACACAAGGGGTCTTACTCTAACAACCCGAGGGGTCTTTATGAGGGCATGAGATTTCGGAAAAAAGATGATGATGATCGGATGGTGTAGAATGATTGCCATGACATAGTTGCATGATCCTGTTGTGTTGTAGTAACTAGCACAACAAAGTTAAAGGTGAATTTAAAGCAGCGCAATTACACACAGACTTGTTGACTGCCTCTCTGTAGGTATCAACATTTTATTACGTGATTTCTAATATGGCAATCTCCATTAATTAGATAATAAAACCATTATCATCTTAAGTTTGTTGATTATTGATCAAATGGCATGTCTTCACCAAAAACATTAACATGAAACAAAGCCTATTAAAACCTCAACTGTGACTCGCCAATTTCACAAAGGGGTAGCACTCTGGCAAAATGAATCCACAGTTTGACTTGTCAAATTAGCGCAAATGACACATATCTATAATATAATACTAATATTTTCTAATTTAGGTTTTTGAAAGAAATCAGATTATCGATAAACAGGAAGCGAATCCCACCAATGGGATACACCACTGTCGCAAATACTTTAACATTCAGGAAGTGACGTTCTAGATATCAGCTCTATCGGAAGTTGATTTATTTTTACCCCAACACTCTAAAATAGCTTATAATTGATATGTTGCACATAAGGTGCTGGTTGATCAATATGTCATGAATGGAGGCTTTAAAAGCTTCAACTAATGAAGGAAAATAATGATATCGGATAACGATTTTAGTTGAAAAGCATTGAATGTCATAATTTCTATACACTTCTGTCCAAATGTCTTCCGAAATGTCAAAATATTAATTCGATAAAGAAGAATAAAGAAAGTTGGAAACAACTGGATATCAATTATGTACTCAAATATATAGTATTGTTTTATCCAAGCAACCAATGCAAAAGACAATTGTGAAAAAAATATAGGACAACTGTGAAAGAATATGTTGAAAGGAGTGATTCTATCAACAGGTCTCATACAACCCGAACCTCCTTGATCTAAATGCATTACATCTTTACTAATATAGGTCCATCAAATTATTCTTCCGGTCTTTTACATAAAATTATACTTCGTGACAAATACATACAACAACCAAAAGCATAAGAATCTTAACTTACCTGAAGGGCAGTCACACGTGAATGTGAGCTCTCCCGTCTTTCGACAGATGCCTCCATTCTGGCAAGGAGATGGGTCACATGGTACGAAAGGGAACTCACAACGTGATCCAGCATAATCGGCAGTACATAGACACCTAAACAGAAACAACTCTGTATTACACCTCCATACAAAATGATTAACCATTGCTTCAAAAAACAATTACTTTGGAAAAAGGTTACCATTTGTTCAATCTGAGGGGTGACCAATAAGTAATGGATGCTTTTCCATGTGTTTTCAGCCTTTATGTCACTTAGTCTGATGGACAATGTCTATAAAAGTTTAGTATACAAAAGCTGGTTGCACAATCTTGAACTGGGTTGGGGGTTAGAGTTAGACTGTTTCATTTAACAACACTTACTTGTAGCTACCACGAGTGTTCTGACAAGTGCCTCCATTTTGACACAGGAAGCCTTCCATCATACACTCGTTGATATCACTGGTACACGTGGGGTCATTAAAGCCAGGGGGACATGTACATTTGTAGCCTGAGGCCAGGGACTGACAGGTGCCTCCATTCCTACAGGGCTGAGTGGAACAATAGTCTACCAGTTCACAATAAGTCCCTGCAAAAATTACATGAATAGGTATTTGAAAGTCTTTGAGTCTACTTGTAGATTCAATGTTGGTAGGTCTCGATAATTAAGTCCTTTTGGCTACCTTTTTTCTAATATTTCTCCATGAAAATATAACCAAGATCCAAAAAGGCGAGGCAAATTAAAATAGATGAGGCAAACAGGTAATTATACCACACGTATATGACATCATTTTTCTGTAGGCCTTTATACATCATAGCAGTTATTCTTGATGGGAGGATGTAACATATTGTCCTTGAGCCGAGACAGTGAATGCCCGATCTTGAAGGACGGTAACATATTTCTATGGAGAGAAAATAGCACGTAACTCTGATCTACATGTACCATGTACTTTTAATAGTATAGACATTGATCAAATATTGATCAGATATTTATGAAATACATTGTTGCTGATGGTGCCACCAACGAATTGCAGACTTTATGTCGCACTTTTGTTATTAATATATAATAAATGGTGATGATTTTCACAATGGAAGTGCCAGAATGAAACTTGAAAGTGTCAGAGATACTCTCAATTATTAACCAGTTTGCTAAAAACAGTGACTTGTCACATTAATAATGAATTTTTTTGTATTTATATTATTTATTATCAATACCAATCAAAAATGTACAAATACCTTTGAAGAATTGGTTCAATATAGTAGACGACTATTTTTAGAAAATCATCCAATATCCATGGCATGAATTGATAAATGACTTTAATGACAAAAGGAGAATGATCTGGTATATATATTGTTAAATGATGAAATAAATGAATTGTAACATATTTTCAGCATTCCGAGTGATTAATGACGAGGCCCCATTATTTTAATCGCGACCTATTACGCCTGGTGTGCCAGAGCAAACAGAACTTACACATCAATGTTTGCAGACTGTAAAAAATTCTACTAGAAATCATTATCTATAAATTATCACATTCACAGTTAAATATTGAGTTAACACTTTCATAGTTCACAATTATAACAAGAACACAAATGTGTACAAAATGTCCCCACCAAGTGGTGATCCCGTGAAATGGTTATCCTGAAAATGAGTAGACAAGACTTTACCAACACAATTTGAGGACGGAAAATCCAAAGTGGCCACCTTAAAATTTACCCAGAATGCCAAAAATTTAGTCAGTTCTAGATTTCCATACTAAGAACCACCCCTGAAAATTTGAAATTGATCCGTCACACAGTTAACCAGAAAACATGTAAACAAGACTTTACAGACAAGATTTCAGGATGGAAAATCCAAAATGGCTGCCTTGACATTTACCAAGAATGTCAAAAAACTAATCTGTTTGTAGATTTTCATACTAAGAATCATCCCTGAAAATATGAAATTGATCTACCAAACAGTTCACCTGACAACGGGTAGACAAGACTTTACAGACAAGATTTTAGGACAGAAAATCCAAAATGGCTGCCTTAACATTTACGCAGAATGCAAAAAAAGTAATCAGATGTAGATTTTCATACAAAGAATCATCCCTGAAAATTTGAAATTGATCTATCAAACCGTTCTCCTAAAAACGCGTAGACAAGACTTTACAGGCAAGATTTTAAGACGGAAAATCCAAAATGGCTGCCTTGACATTTACCCAGAATGCAAAAAAACTAATCAGTTCTAGATTTTCATACTAAGAATCATTCCTGAAAATTTGAAATTGATCTACGAAACAGTTCACCTGAAAACGAGTAGATAAGACTTTACAGACAAGATTTTAGGACGGAAAATCCAAAATGGCTGCCTTGACATTTACCCAGAATGCCAAAAAACTAATCAGATCTAGATTTTTATACTAAGAATCATCCCTGAAAATTTGAAATTGATCCACCAAACGGTTCACCTGAAAACGCGCAGACAAGACTTCACAGACAAGATTTTAGGAACGAAAAATCCAAAATGGCCGACAATAAAAAAGTCCTTATGAGTTTTTGCTGATTTCTTTTTACAAAATTATCACATATAACTACTGTTAACAATAAAGTAGGCTTTTACAGCAAAGTACATCTGAAATTATTTATAAAGCTACTAAATAGTTAAAGTATGAAAACTCAAAAACACCATTCAATATGATACAAAGTATTATCGCGCGCTAACTTTTCTTAAGACATTCAAAATGGCTGACATGACTGAGCTAGCAGGTCCAAAACCTAATCAGATCTAGAATGAAGTGAGCTGAACAAGATGTTAAAGTTTTAAAAGCAACTGTGAAGCAGTTTTTCTTAAAGTTTGCAGACAAGGATTTTAGCATTCGACTTCAAAATGGCCGACAGGAAGTAGGTATCGAGTTAATTTTTTTTCATCCACATCTGTATGCACTCATAAAATATCCCTGAAAATTTGAAGGTGATATCTGTAGCGGTTTTGGAGAAAACTGCCGGACGTACGGACAGACGGACAGACAGACGGACAGACAGACGGACAGACAGACAGACGGACGGACGCGCCTAGGCCGACAATATGGCCCCACACTATGTGGTGGGGACATAAAAAGTGACTCTTTTGAGAATATTTAAAATTTTATCAGCTTAACATTCGTTTACTTTCAATTTTGAGCTAAATCATACATGTACAGTAAATGGATTTATTATTTCTATTATTCAACTTGGAAAGATATATGATCCCAATGGATTTTTTTCGATTATTATGTAAAATTATAATGGCCCTTGGGATGGGGACAAAAGTAAAACAAAGAACATTATAACATATCCAGGGTCTTTGTTTGATATGAACTCTACCCTAAAATCTAGCCTCAGAATTGTAATAATTGATACTTATAAACTATCAATAGTTCTGCACTCATTATAGCCAAGTGTTTTGTTTCATAGATTGTTCAATACAGATCTAGGAGATCTGATATCGACTTTGACACTTTGACACTTGTGGCAATTCGTAAATGAAGATTTTAGAAAACAACATTCTACTTTAACAAAGTTCAAGGTTAAACTTCTAATTTTCCCATTATATTCATTACACCCATTTTTCTTTAGTTATTCTCCCCTCCCTTATTCCACCCCCTTCCCTACCTCTTATCAATTCCCCTTTTCTAATCTTCTATTCTACCAATCCATATCTCCCTACTCACCCATTTTCACCCTTAACACTTCCCTTTCCCCCACTTACCCATTCTCCCCGAAATACATGAGCACTGGTACTGGGTGAGGCTGCCCAGTAAGGTGCAAGTTCCTCCATTCTGGCACGGGTTGTCATAGCATGCACTGGCCGCATCCTGGACACCACACATAGAACCAGTGAAGCCTAGAATACAATAATAATATATTAGAACACCACTTAATCATATAGCATTTGCAAGCCTTTCATTAAATACCGACAAGCAAAACAAAAATACTGTTCTATGCCAAATTATTTTTACAAAGCATTTAGGTAATATACATGGTTATCTTGAAATGCTATATTAGGCCTTTGAACTTGCCCAATAGGGCTTAAAGTGATGCATATCCTGTGCCTTAATATATGTCAAAGAACCTTTCAATGTGACAATGATTTTATGTGGATGCAGTTTTAGCATGTACAATATTTCACAAGTTGCATCATATGACTCACCTATAGCGCATGTACAGATAGGTTTGATATCTGGTTTCGTTTCGTCAACATAGCAGGTCCCACCATTTAAGCACATCTGTTGTTCTGATTGGCATGGGTTGACGTGCTGGCAGTAATCCCCAAAGTATTGTTCCGGGCAACTGAAATATACAACAAGCAACTTATTATTCAACTTGGTATTGATAATGTCTTTAATCATGAGGTCACATTGGTGAAAATATACCTTAGTACAAAATCAGTTAAATGGTTGTGCCACTGTGCCATTTCACCAGTAGTCTCATGAGAAAATGCACATTGGAGACGTCTGCTTGAGCATCAATGCATTATGGGAGTGATAGAGATGTGGTCTCAGGAATAACATGCAAACTTGAAGATAATCACTGCAATATAATAAAATAACTGAATACTGATCTCCCATGTTTGTAATCTGAATGTCAATTCAGAAACAGTATACTGGAAATATACAATCCTACATCAAGTTTCAGAAACAACAATAGGTGCAACATTCTATGGCCAACTGTTCCTAGAAGAGACCCATGTATCAACCAAGACCTCCACCTGTTATGTTGCACCCTATCTGTTACAGTTTATCTCTCAAAAACATTTGTTTGCCTATTTAGTGCATATTTTCATGTGTTTTACACATACTTAAAATTGGGCTTAACTTTTAAATAGGATAACCGTCATAATTGAGAATTCTACATCTCTAGCTATACCAGCAAGACATGACGACTGTATAACATTGCAGGGTTCTATTACCTCTGGAGGTTAACTTGAAGCCAGAAGGTACTGCTCTACTTGAAATTTTGAAAATATCCATGCACCTAACAGAAAACCCATTTGCACCTACTGAAAAGGAGTTATCATGAAAAATTGGCATTGTCTGACCAACTGAAGTCAGAATCTTGAAAATGAGAATTTTGAACCTATTTCAACAAAATTCTGGTCTTAACACTGGAGTACCTTGTGATTTTCCCACAATAAGTCAAACTTTGCTATTCCCGTTATGCATTCTTGTACTAATTACTAGAACAAGCACGAAGAAAACGATACATCATCTTCTTCAAGAATTATGATTTAAGACTTTTTCTGAACTTTCAAAGTGACCACAACAAATCTATTTCACAACAGTTAGGTGAAAGATTTTACAGATCACGCTTTGTAGTAGAATACAGTTTCAAACCTCATTCAGAAATATCATCACAAGGCAAACATTTGAAGAAATTGTACACTCTTGCCATTTGGAAAGTGTTCAGATCAACAAAAGAAGTTATTAACTTTGAAGAATAATTGAAACAAAAACAACTTTACTCTGCCAACGGCTCAATTCATAACATTTAATGTTTGTTGAGATTTATCTACCAGGAGCGCTTCCTGAGTAGATTTACACTTTTCTACAATAGTGCATATTTTAGAATTCTGTCCTACTCAAACGAGACTGTAAAAGTGCTAAATGTTTTCCATGTTTACTTGAGTAAAGTAATTCAAAGTGTAATATATGATATGTATAAGTTAACGTAATAGGATAACACTCTAAAAGCATCTTCATATAACACAGGTATAGTACTACAAAACCAGAAATTGCCAAATTAGTCTTAAAGTAAATCATATCAGATATGAAGAACCTTGAGAAAAAGCTTTGAACCTTAGGCAAATACACAAATTTTCTTCTCTTATTACCAATTGAAACATTTCCTTTACTTAACTTGCTACCAGGAATTCTCAGAACTATGGATCTTATTCTGGGACAGAAATCTCAAAGTTTAGGAGTTTGGGTAAACATCTTTGATCTTCTTTTTGGAGAAATCTAAGTTAATATCCTACAACATCTTTGTTAATATCTTGCAGGGAAGATGCAGGAAGGCCAACTTGCACGAGCATGTTGAAATTCTATTTTGAATTTACTGGGATCAGCAGAGTCAGAGAGAACATGACAAAAGAAATGTATGATTAAAATATAAGAAGTATAAAATAAAACAATCCATCCAGGGAATAGCCTTAAACTCAATAGAATATAGGTAATTTTGCAATTTTTAATAAATCAGAAATCAATATACGTATAGCCTCCATGTATATCAATGTATGTTCATATCTAGCTGAGTTCGAGGATTGGATCATATCCGGCAGCCTTGGGCAGAAGGGCTCCCCAGTAAGTGTCATCTTTATCTCAAAACCACTCCAGTTGCAAAAACATGACTGAGTTCTGGTAGATGATACATACAGAAAGTTCAGGTAATGTCAAGGTAAACTGTATGAAGATTTATAATGTTTCTAGGCCAAGTAATGATAAAAGTGTTGCAACCATTGATAACAACTTCTGTTTTGGAACTGCTGAATTAAAATACTACGAACACTATGAAAACTCCCACAATTCTAATATTTCTAAGTATTAAAATTCAATGTGATATTTTGAAGAAATACAATTTGAAGTTTTAGATTAAACAACTGTAGAATCTTGATTCCTCGTTTTGTAGAATATATCACTTGTTAGATATTAGAGGGGATGCATACATTCCCTTGTTAACTCAATATCAGTTAAATATCAATTCGCAAACAACGGCAAGACTTAAACATAAATGGGAAGATAGTATAATGCCCCATGTAGATTGTCACAAATTCAGATCCTTCACTGTTCATAGTTGGACAATAGTGGCACAAATGTGACAATATTAAAGAACTCCAGAAAGGTTGCACTATCTTCTGTCTACCAGGCAAGAAAGTCATTAATTTACTGCCTGCTTGCAACATGGACTGAATTTCGATTCCTTTAATATGGCTTCACATTAAGATCAGAATCCTATGCTATAAAATATTGCATCTCTGAAGCAACATTTCAGGAAGTTTAAAATTTCTCTAAATTCAAGAGAGAAAATCTTTTTCTTATTGGAAATCAATTCAATGATTCCGAATTAGACCCCTTATATGGTACAAATTATAACTAAATACTACAAAGGCGGAGTTCCTGGTTTGTTAAGAGCTTTCAAAGGTTTGGAATCAAGAATAACATCCTATTCACTATAAAAACTCACTTGATCCTATAATTCTATTGTTTTAACATTCATCGGGCTTAGTCCTTCAATATGTAATTTCCGAAAATAAATTTACCATTCTGCTTACAGAATACAAAACTCTTTATTGGAAATTGAAGCATGTTATTTTGAGGAAAATGGGGGGCTTTTTGAGTGCAGGGGTGAACTTAAGATATATTGAACGTCAAAAATTCTACTTCTTTAAAACAAAAGCTGTAATAGTAAGGGACCAACCATTAGCAAAAGGAGGGGCTAATTTTTATCCTTATTCTTTTATCTCCAGTCAAAGCCCAAAATATTTTTTCATAAATAAGAAAAGTGATTACAACATGAGATAGCAATATATATCAAGATATGAAAAAACAATATATTCCATGACATCACACAAGTAATATATCATATGACAAAGAATAACAGTATATATCATAATATATATCATGACTTGAAACAACATATCATTATTTGGAAAAAAACAATATATACCATGTCATGAAAAAACAACACTATATAACATGACTTGAAAACAACAATATCACAACTTAAAACAACAACAAAACTGTATATATCATAACTTAAAACAACAACAAAACTGTATATATCACAACTTAAAACAACAACAAAACTGTATATATCACAACTTAAAACAACAACAAAACTGTATATATCACAACTTAAAACAACAACAAAACTGTATATATCACAACTTAAAACAACAACAAAACTGTATATATCACAACTTAAAACAACAACAAAACTGTATATATCATAACTTAAAACAATAATAATATATATCATGACAAGAAATAATCAATCAACAAAATAATTAGGAGGTTTTCCATATGCAGGTAGTAAAAGGCGCTTATTCTCCCATTAGTACCTCATAAAAAAACACAAATGACTTTGTTAATAATCATTTAATCATAAAAAAGCTACCGACGTTTCTATTAACATAAGAAAACAATCAATTAAAATCACAAACAATTAGATATTTATGTCACGCTATGTAAAAACAGCATTCTTAAAAAATTATATTATTTGTTTTATTGTCTTAAGTATTTTACATTCTTGTAGATGTAATTAGTTGAAAGTTGTGTATATTATCATAGCCATGGTATTAGTATATAACCTGTGTTGCAATATGTTACGTGTGCGTGCAGTCCCGACAGACAGGTGTTTAATGCTGGCTATTTTCCCAAGGTGTTCTAAATACCTAATGTTCCCACGTTTTTAAATCAGGGACGTGTCATTTTGAACTCGCTATCTTAAGTTTATAAAATCAAAGGTTAAATACTATTCAATTGTTCTTAATGATTCATACAAATATAAAATAATAGATGAGATTACATTTGTGCATAAGTATTGTTATTGTTTTCAAAATACGTTTCTACTTTACCAATGTCCATTATGTTTCTATGGCGGTGTCTATGCATAGAAAATGACAATCCCTAGATGATCAGTACATTATGTGTCAATTAGTGAATTTTATTGGGAATGACATTAAAATCTCAGAGAGTCATCATAAGTCACCCGATCCAGTATTAAATGTTAAAGCACCCGGGGAAATCTATTAAGTTACAAATGATAGATATGCAACAAGCATAACATTAATCTGTGACCTACATGCACATAAAACTTGTCACCAAGGATAAAACTGTTTTTTTTCATAACGCTAATAGAGATGAGATTAACAAGGAATAATCTGAGCTACCTAAATAGGTATAACTCACTGTCACATTAACTCAATGTCACATTAACTCTGTCACATTAAGTATATCAGTCATCATGCTTCATGCGTACACCTCCTAATGTAACATAAAGCCATGTTTAACTCAATATTGGTGAACCTATTCAAAATAAAGGATTTAATATGATTGGCACTGTATATGACTTGTGACTGTATCTAGGGTAAGGTCCATGGTGACTATTAATGGATACTGGACCAGAAATTATTGCTTTGAACGTGTGCCTTTTGTTTCCAATATTTGCGATTTCAATACTCTCCTGCTTTACTCTATACACTTTACTATGGGTATTATGTGTTATATATTAACCGACCAATCAAATGAAAGCATTTAGTGAGACGGCAGGTGTGCGCTTTAATGTTGTTTAAA